CACTGACTCTGATCAGTGTTTCTCCTCTGGATAGCTTATTGTCATAGTGATGAGAAATGTAATATTGTGTCTACTCTGTAAGTCGCTTTGGATAAAAGTGTCTGCCAAATGCATAAACATAAACATAAACATAAAGACATTAAACCGGTTGTGAACTTTTCAGGGCGGAGGGGGGCATCACTAAGGGGGCGACGGTGGGCGTCCTGCTGGACCTGACCAAGCGCACGCTGACTTTCTACATCAACCAGCAGCAGCACGGGCCCACGGCCTTCGAGAGCCTGGAGGGCGTCTTCGTGCCGGCCGTCAGCCTCAACAGAAACGTGCAGGTCGGTGTCGGATCGTTAAGCTAACCACAACCGAATGAGACAGTTCACTGGCAATTCAATTCAATTTTATTTTATTTTTAACCTCCTGAGACCCGGCCCATTCTTTTATGTCCATTATAGTGGACATTTTGTCCACCTGTACCCCCCCTAAGTATCTGGAGTTACCCTATCAAGCCCTATAGTGTTCTGTAGAGCACATCCTGGGCTTTCCAGTGATGTGCCATGTGATAGGTTTGCATGCTGGGAACTTAAATATCCCTTTCAAGACATCTTCTTTTTTATTATTTAATTATCTAAAGCCTGTTCTATTTCCCCATGCAAATCGTCCTGTTGTCCTTCACAGTGGACATGCTATGAAATTAAAATTAAAAATATATTTTTTTTAATTTAAATTGTAATGTTCTTTTTTAGGTCCAAATACGTGGAAAATCACAACAAAAAAGAAATTTGAAGACACTTTTTTTCTTTGGGTCTCAGGAGGATATAGCGCCACATCACAACAGCAGTTATCTCCCAGCTTTCCAAACAGAGCAGGTCAGACCGAACTCTGAGTTGTTATTTACAGAAGAATAACAATTCCCACCATGAGCAAGCACTAGGCGACACAGGGAAGGAAAAACTTCCTTCCGAACGGCTTCAAACGAGCAGAACCTTATTCTTATTCTCTGAAAACTGAATTGTTCTCTCGTGTTTAGGAGGTTAGCATCCACAGAGAAACGAAAAAGCCCGAAAAAGTGTTTTCTGTGTTTCGTTTTTCTCCTCTTCAGGTGACCTTACAGACGGGCCTGGAGGTGCCAAAGAACAGCAAACAGTAAAGGATCCTTCCTCTTTCCTGATTATCCCGGAGACCATCCAAATATGTCCTTTTTAGCCTCGGTTTACTCACGCGTGGATCAAAGATGTCCAACGGGATTTTCTCCATAACCTGCTCCTCTCAAGAAGTCCCCTATCAAACCTGACCAGGTGTAAATGCCCATAAAGGTGGAATTACAATGGACTACTGGACTTCGTTCATCCTCGGTGTCGCCATAAGACTTCCATAAGATTTTAATTGTGCTCATTCCAGCTTGTAATGTATAAAGAAAGTCACCATGTCTGAGGAGATTGTCATTTTCCAAACTATGGAATGAGAGTTTTTTTTCGATCTTTACAGAAATCTGTTGCTTTTCAGAGGTAGAAACAGGACGCAAAGGTTGTTGCTGCTCTCAGAGTTTATGAGTTTTAAGCTGGAGAGAGACTTTTTTGAGGGAGATTTTGATTATTTCACTGCATGTTCCCTCCCAGTTTTGGTTCAGACAACTTAATTATGTCTGTTTCCTTCTTTACTGATTCAAAGGGAAAATTATTATTATCCTCAAGCTTGAAGCTGAAAGCCATCTGAAGTCTACAAAGGCTGGGTCCTGTTTTAGGGGAAAGTCATACAGGGTTCCTCATCAAAACTTAGTCATTTTCTGGGTGTTTGGCTCTAATTTGCTTATAAGAAGAAATATATTGAGTCAGAGTAAAATTTGAGGTGCATTTGTGGTGAAACAAAAAGGGAAATTCCTACAAAAGACACAAGATTTCAATATAAGGGAGCACATTCAACATTTAATTGTAAATGATGTGAATTAGGTGCATAACTGTAATTTCATTGAGGGTTTTCCAGAGATAATTGTTGGATAAAAGAGTTAATGGGTTGAAATGTGTTTTAAAAAATGTAAAATGCACCAAATTGTGTGAGTTCATCAGTCCAGTTAGAGCTGTCAGACTAATGTTTTTACACTGTGGCTGACTTTAAAGGCATTATGTGTCAGTTTGAACCTTTAACGAAGCAGAATAAGAACAACTTCTAAGTGTTTGGTGAAAGGACAAAACTCAGCGCAAAATTCTCCAAAATCTATTTTTTTTTTCTTTTAATCTCATCTTGCATAAAAAAAATTCAGCCCCTAAAACTTGATGTTTTTAAAATGCAGAAAAGTTTGAGGAGTCTTTACAGAACAGATTGTAACAGCTTTTGATATTTGGCAGACTTTGAGGGCCCTCCACTGTAGGAAATAGAGACAATTTATTCCCTGATTATCTTACTCTGCCTCTCCCAGGTTCTGTAAACTGTCAGAAATGGTTTAATTCTGGGCTGTGTTGACAACAAAACCCTGAAACAAAAAGGAAAATCAGTCCAGTCTTTATCTCTTTTTGTGTTTTTCTTTTAACTCATTGACTGCCAGCCATTTTCAGAACAGAGTCCCATACTGCCAGAGTTTTTTGAGCATTTTGACTGATTTTTCAAGAGCCACAGAATAGTTTGTGCTATGACTATGTAAACACCGAACACACCAAAAGAAAGAGTAGACTCTCTTCTTTCATCAGGAAAAAAAATGTGTTTCTATCTTATTCCGTTCTTCCTCGACTTGCGTCTCACCGGCGACATGTTCTCTCATAGAACCGTTACCTTTTTCTTATTTGCCTACAGTCTATGCTCATCTCCCATCAAAAGTGGCACTGCCCCCTAGAGGGTCAATTTGTTACTATATACTCTGTCTAGAAGCCGATATTTACGGACAAGCTTTAGCAGATCGTCCCCCAGCCACTCTCGTTGAAAAACATAAAACACGTCACACTTTGGCAGCAAACGGTTGTATTTGAATTGACGTCTATAGACGTCTTTGGCAGCCAATGAGTTAACGAGACCAGGAAGCCGTTTGAGAAGAGCCTGTTTCTCCTTGTAATTCCCTCCTGTTCTGGTCCTTCTCTGGTTCTTTTAACACCGATCTTCATTAGTCCCATCGATTAAAGCTCGTCGGTAGCTTTGGCCGGAACACTGTGACTCCGAGGCCAAACCCCGCTCCCGTAACATGAAACTAAACCCAAAACGTCCACGTCTGTTTTCGTTAGAGAGTTTTATCCCATCTTTGGTTGGGGAACTGTGTGTACCACGAACTGTAAATACTGAGGTGTGAGCTACGACTGACTGTGACTTGATGCTGAGCATGAAGCGAGCATCCAACAAGTTTACAAATATCTGGGATGGGATTAGAAATAGTGTACCGTTTTATCATTGAGGGACATGAATATGGCGTTTAATAAGTCATCAAAAAGTTTTTCCACACATTTTTCCTGAGAGTTTTTAATACAAGACAGGGTTTATCTCACTGGAACACAATGGGAAGCGTCACTCTTTCACTCTGTTTGTTATGTTTTCTCAATTCAGTTTGACAAGAGGCCTGATTCTGCTGCCCCCAAGTGGCTAAATGTCGTATTACAA